GGGTTAATTTTATATATATATATATATAATAAATATTTATATATATGTGTATGTATAGGTTAAAATATCTGATTTTTGAAATGTGAAAGTTGTTTTGTTATTTTTGAAATATGGTAAAGATAAAGTAGGAGAAATGAATTTTTCCCTTTTTTAAAATACATTTGGGTGGGGCTTGCTGTACAGTGAGGGGCTTGTAAGGCCCCTGTGAATCAAATTCATGTACAGCAGGAATTATTCGAAAAAAAATAGTAAAAGAGAATCTAATCAAATATTACCTTTCTAGAAAGAACTCAGACAGTATGAAGAATAATCCAGCTTTTTCTTCATTTTTTTCCGAACTATCAATCGTTGTAGAAATTATGTTCGAGTCGATTTGTTCAAGGTTTAACCATTGATTTAGTAAGTTTGGCATCTGTTTTTAAAGATTATGTTTTCAATGAGCAATCAGATTGGATTTCGTCCCAATTTTCAATTGAATCGGCTATTTTGTTCCTATTATCGATTACTAGTAAACCAATTTCCTCTCTTGATTAATAATTTGATAAAAGTACTGCCTAAGAACTTAGGACAATCATGAACAAGTAGAATTTTCTTCAACAAATTTAAGAAAAATCAAGATTGCGGCCCCCCCCCTCCTCCCCTCTCACATGGGGCGTGGCCCCCATGTGTATTAAAAAATTCCGACCCGTGGCTCCCACCTCCTTTTGTGAGTAGTAGGTAAAAAATTAGGTAAAAAAATTATGTAAGTCTAGCAAGGTCCTTAAAAGAATGGTTAATAAAAAGGGCAAAATTATTATATATTAAAGAACTTCAAAGTGCATAGAAACATTTGTCAAACATTTTACAGCCTATAGAAGACATTGAAACAAACAAGGTCTAAAACACCCTTATTTTTAAAATCAATTTACAAAGACAACTCTCCGGTTTCTTAACTTTTAAATATTGCCTTCCTACCTACATAGCTATGTTCATAGTCGTGTCCATAATGAGAGCTGGCAAGATTTTCAGTCAATATCTCGCCAGCAAATTAAAAAAAAAAAAAATTAAACCTCAAAATTGAAGTCAAAACCATCGTAGCAGCCCTTTCCCCATTTTCAGTGAAAGTCGAAATCCTCCTTCCTCCCAGTTGTAGCACTACTCTTCAGTTTTCCTTCCTCAAATACTGCAAGAAATCGAAATCATCCTTCCTCCCATTTCTCCATTTTGAATCTTCATTTCTCAAATGCCCCAACCCACGTGACCTAGGTGCTGACCTGAAATGGACGGGGGAAGAGATGAATATTTCTCCTTCTCCGATACGGACGTCGGTGAAGTTGAAGGCGATGGCGACGGCTCAAATGGTAAACTATCTTTTTCCTTGTTGACCGAATCAATCTTCTTGCGAACCGGTGAAACTTCCTTTCTCATTGGATCTGATAGGGCGTCGAGTTCCTGATAAAGTAGTTTCAAGAAATTTTCAAGAATGAACTTTTGATACCCAATTATGCCTTAACACTTCCTACATGAAATTTAAATTGTTCAGCCATTATTCTCTTCTGAGCTTGTTAATTCTAATTCTAGCATACTGTGACTTTGAAGCATAATGTGTAATCTTAATCTTTGCAGGAATGGAGGTGAACTCTTCTGAGCATGTGGGTGACGATGTTGTGGCTGGGGAAATATTAGGAACACAAAATGAGATTATCGTGCCTGAAGTTGGTATGAAATTTGCGAATGAGAACGAGGTATTTGAATTCTATAAGAGATACCCTTATCAAATAGGTTTTCCTGTTAGAAAAAGAAACTAAACGAAGGGAGATGACGGGATAATACGATATGTGAGTTTCACTTGTAGTCGAGAAGGTCGGCGAAATCGTAAGAATAGTACATCTCTTAAGTCGACACCTACAATTCA